AACCTTGTTTGTTTTTTTTTTGTATTAAACTTCAATTTTTAATTAAATCAATCGAATAATCTTATTTTACATATGTCAATATTTCTTCTGAAATGTCTTATAATTTAGAAATTAATGTAATATTTCTATTGAAAAATGTACAATATTTTATTAGAATGATCTATGAATGAATAATATTATTTTTCTTTTTATAAAAATAATTGAAAGAAAGAAAATTTCAAAACATCGAATACATGCGCTAATAAAAAAAAGAGATATTAATCAAATAAATAAATAAATATATATAATTCAATTCACAAAAAAGAACTGCTCGTCTATCATCATCATCATCATTGTTATAAAAAGAAAACAATTATTTAAATGAATGCGAATTAATAATCTTGCGCTAATTTTCTGATAGAAATATTAAATTATTTAAACTTTATGTTGTTTTTTTTTTTTCTAAAAATATAATTTATACAAATAGTTTGATAAATATTGTAATAGGTGTTTTACATCGTCAAAAAAATAAACTTATGATTATCAATAAAACATCTGAAAAAAAAAAATTTAATTTCAACTTGTTATCTGTATGATTCAATGAAAAACAGGTTATTCCAATAGATGGGTACTTTGTGTCATTGAATCGCTTATGTTTTCGTTTCTTATAATCAAAAATTTACACAGCTGTTAATACAATATAATATTTAGATAGACAAATATTTACAATTAAACACATAATAATAAAATTAAAAACAATAATTCAATAGATTTCTTTTATTTTTGCATCAAAATTTCTTTTTTTTTTGAATATAAAACAAAATAAAAATCATGTCTTCTGTGGATATCAAGGTCATACAGGTATGTGTGTGCTTTTCTTCTGTTCTGTTCTTTTGTATTTATAATCAGAACGATGAAAAAAAAAAAAACAACAACATGAGAACAAAAAATAAGGTTTATATTTGTAGTGAATAAACTAACATTATTATTATTATTATTAACATCGACATTCGAATAAGACAACAATAATCATTTTGAAAAATATTTATCCATATGGCAACAAACGATAATGTACAAAATAAAATAGAAAATAATTCTTCTTTACTTCAATATGATGATCATGTTCTTTTTATTTATATTAATCAATGGGAAAATCATTCGATTGCAAAAATTCAAAAAGCAGCTCAACAAGCTCGAAATGATCTTCAAAAAATTTTCAATGAAAAACATCAAGATTTTTCTAATTTATTAAATCAAATTAATAATGAAATTAATACAGATTTAAATGAAAATATTAATCTTTTAAAATATACACAACAATTAAATAAACTTCGACAAGATTTATCAAATTTATCAACATCTATTTATTTAGAACAGGATAAAAATCAATTACCTATATCTTTAATTAAAATTTTTCATAAAAATAATTATCAAATTAAACAAATAGATAATAATAAGGTAATCGATAAAGATTTGCTTTTCTTGTTTTTTTTTAAATATTCAAATTTTTTTTTTTTTGTCATAGGATGAAGGTAATATAAATGTACCTGGTACTGAAATATTAACACCAGCTATGTTACGTGATGTAACATTGACTGAACAAAAACAATTATTAGGTGAACGACTCTTTGTACTTGTTCAACAGATTGAACCAACTTTAGCAGCGAAAATTACTGGAATGTTTATTGAATTAGATATAAAATATATTTTAACATTGATTAAATCACAAAATATACTCAAAGAAAAGGTTAGAATTAATTAATAAATAATTAAAAATCAATAGTTAAAATATGTTTTTTGCTTGTCTTTTAGATCAAAGAAGCGATTGATATATTAAAAACATATCAATATAAACAACATTATATGACGAAATCATGAAATTAAAATTTTGATTTTGTTAGATTAAAATTATTAATGACAAAAAAAATTTTTTTTTTTTTTTCTTTTTCATCAATCAATGTCTAAATATTGAAAAATATTAATTATTTATGAATTTTTGAATGAAAATTTTCATAAATCTTTATGTAAAAGATAATATTAGATTGTAGATGATGAACTTTCTTATCAAGAATGAATAGAAAAATAAAATTTTTCTTATATAGAGATGCAACTGAACTTGGTCTACTATCTCATACTCTGAGCTAAAAGATTGAATATACATCCCTCATACATGTACATTGTAACACACCACATCAATTGCTAAAACTTATGGTCATGTTGAATCATCAAAACAGCAAAAAATTTCATCAATACAAAAAAAAACGATGTTATTGCACAACTTCTATTTCACTCCATAATAAATGAATCATTCGAATAGGTAAAAAGTGAAGGTCCGAAATGCATGAGTTATCGTATATTGCTTGAAAGGTGTAGAGTAGGTGGGAGAGAACTCTTCAACGGAGTTGTCGACAATGGAACACCACTACTTTCTAAATTCCCTAACTTCTCATGCATTAAATACGACCTTCATTTATATTTTTTTAAGGATATTGTAACATTTTCTATTGCCTATTACATATATTCCTATGAATAATTGAAGTTTCATTAATTTAAAATTACGTACAGTTTTAATTTTTGAAGAATATCAATTTTCTCAAATGATTCAGAAAATTTTGCAGCTATCAAGTTCAGATTTTCAGTATTCGAAAGGTGCTATCTCATGGACAACTTTTTCTTTTTAAAAATATCGTTACTAACCTAATGATGTCGTCTACGATGGACATCACGTGTCAATAGCTGAACACTTTTCTGAATCTTTTAAAGCTGAAACAATCACGGAAACGGATGTGATATATATTTGTCTTAGATATTATTAAGATGTTATATCTTTACAAGAGCTTGAGAGATAATACTTTAATAATGAGCATTAGGTACTCGTTTTAAATAGTTTGAACGAGATTAACGGCGACATAAGAGACTATAGGCTTCAGTTCGTGATTAAATGGTAATTTCATGTGTGAAGATCAATAACCCATTGTGTTTTGAAGTAAAATTCTTATCTTAGGAATTGGTAAGTTAGGTAACAAAAGTAAGATATGAAAGCGTCTTTTTCTCCAATAGTTTATAGGACAAAATCATTTCAAAACCAATGATGTCCACTTTTTTGATTGCTGGAAACTGCAAATCACTAGCTGCTTACGTTCTCGACTTATTTAATTTTCAATCGAATACCTTAAAGTCTCACATTAATATTAATATGTTGTAAATTTTTTGAAAATAGGATGACTACATATTGGAAATCTCAGAATAATATTCGATAGAGCATGTCAAGCTCCACTAGAAATATTGAAAGAGATCTCAAACACTATTTTTAATTTGCAATTTTTTAATTTTCACAGTGATTATTCTTTCTACCATAGAACTCATTTCTAGTCTTTAATATTAGGTTTGAAGCATGTATCTTAGCTTATTAGAATCATCAGACTGCGAGCTACAAAACTGTCTACTTAGTTTATTTTTAAATTCTATTTTATTATCGGGAAAATTTGTTGCGGTCAAAAAGCAAAATAGATAGCTTATTCTGAATCAACGTCAAAAACTGCATCGATTATTACATGTTTTAGAAATCTTTTATTTTCTTGTGAAAAATCGACCTCGGAAACTAGTGACAAAATTTTAGCAAAATAAATCTGAGTAAAATCACAGACCGATTTTCCATCAAAAACAGTTATTACTAAAAGATATAGTAATCAATGCAATTTTTGACGCTGATTCTGAATAAGCTATCTATTTTGCTTTTTGACCGAACTATGATAATGAAAGCCACTTAATACGAAAGCATTTTCGATAGTTTCACTAGGAAACGCTTATTTGTAGCGACAAATAGTGTATTTTAGTCATTTGATGTGTTCAAAGATATTTCTAGTCAAATAGTGATATAAAACTCACTCGAATTTTACATGTCCGAGACTGTACAATAGCTGCGCAGATCAATTATGGATATAAGTCTGTATATGATTGTGTTTTTCAAAAGGTATATTATCGTTTTTGGTATTACAGATTTCGAAAATTACTTTTCTTTACAAGTAATGTTTATGATTTGAAACTCTGAGATTCACCTCAAGCGAGTTCTAGATCACAACTTGTCTTTTATTTATGAAAAATACTTTTCACCGAGTCAAAGTATGAGATATTACTGCTTTTTTTTTGGGATCCTCAAATATTTTAGGACTAAAATCTAACGAGATTATGGTGAGTAGTTTCGAGTTGACAATAAAGTGTCGTTCTTTAAGAAAATGCTTAGCAAATCTAAGGGATGCATGTTACTTGTGTTTATCCGTAATTAAAAGCTCTTGTTTCATAAAAAAAGTTGTAAGAAAGAAAAGAAAATAATTAGTCTATTTTGAAAACTTCATTTGTATTAACAATTATTATTTACTTGAATAAGATAATCAAATAGTCTCAACTGTTCAAGTTTCATTTACTCTGATTTAAGTTATTGATGTAATTTGTAGTAGATCTGTCATTACTTTTCCTTTTTTTTTTCATTTAATAAATAGATGTCATTCATTCAACTGTCTTTGTTCAGCATTTTGTTTAAAAACACAATATACATGGATGACATTATATAGCATGAAACCATAAAAATCATGATTTTTTCATCATAAACATACGTATTTATTTGATTAAGTCTAACTTTATAATCCTTGATGAAAATTATGATTCTAATGGTAGTTCTATACTTGTTTTATAACTATGCGCAATGGATCTTGAGATAGATGAAACACGAGACGGATAAGAACAGAAAAAAAAGCAGACTTTTTTTTATTTTCTTTTTGTGAAGAACAACGCAATTATGTAGAGACATAGACACATTATGATGATTTATAGTGAAAAGAATATAGTTGTTCTACATAGAAGAAAAAAACACTGATGTAAACCAAATAACCATTGCTTTATATAGAAACGTAGACTTGTTTTTTTTCTTTAATCATCTTTATTCATTCTTACAATGAGTTCAGTTTAATCTAAGATGAATTTTATTTAGACGACTAACATTAAATAATACAGTAAGTCAATTCATGTCGGTCAAAACTAAAAACTCAAAAATATTTCCATATGAATGTCGAATATGTGGTGCCCCTGCTGAATATTCATTTTTTGGTGTTATTTCATGTTATGCATGTAAAATGTTCTTTAAACGAAATGCTAATGTTGGACAAGTAAGATGAACTCTGTTTTCTCATTTAATTTTTCATGTTTATTCATTTAGGCAACATTCATATGTAATTTTAATAATCAATGTCAAATGAATCGATATAATCGTCATATGTGTTCAGCATGTCGACTTGCTAAATGTTTTAAATCTGGAATGAAAACTGAAAAATTTCGAGCATCAAGAAAGTCTAAATCAACAATAAATACTTTATGTAAAATACAAGTACAACATCAATCAGATAGGGTAAGATTATTAAATTAAATTGATAGAAATAAAATTTCTAATGAGAAATCTATTGTCATTTTCTTCAATGTTAATCTTATCATAAATGAAGATTTTGTTCAAAAAGTATCAAAATCAAAAAAAAAAGTCAAATTTTCAATTCTGCTAACGTTTTTTTTTTTTGCCGAGAAATGTTCATGAGTTTTTTTTAATATTCAAAAGATATGCTTTGTTTCTTGCGTCAGCATTGAATAAATATTTCTATATAAGTTAAACACAACAGATAGTCCCAGTTTATGTCACCTGTTATGTACTTTTAAATATATTATAAATATGACAATTTTAATGCTTTTGTTCTGAATGTCAAAATTTTTTTATTATATATAATTATTCTTAAACTAAACTATATCAAGTATTCTTATCCTATCATAGAGTATACGTCATGCTCTCATTTTTCTATGATATTCGATTATTTCTCGACTAATACCATAATAATCAAATTTCGCTAAGAGCTATTTTTCTATATCCTAATTTATTTAGAATACGTTTCCATACATCTTTTGCATATAAAAGAAAAAAAAAAGTTTTTGAAAGCTTACTATACAATATAAAAACGTCATTGCGACTATTTTTAGATTGCTTACAATATAACATATTTTTTGTTATTTATTTATTAGCTTCCAACATTAAATCTTTTACAATCAGATCAATCATTATTAACTATTGATCAATGGACACTTCTTACAAATTTATATCATTGTTATAATGAATCTCAAATTTTACCATTTACTCAACGTTTAGTAGATAAATACGATAGTTCAATATCCAATTATATGATTTACAAAGTATTTGTAGAAGAATTCTTAGTATCAATTTATGAAACAGCAGGTACATATCTTCGTTCAAATGATGATCTTCGTAAATTATCATCGGATGATCGTTCTATAATACTTCGTACTGCTGCTGATAATGTATGCTGTATGAGTGGTACATTTATTATGCAATATTCTTATTTATATGGTCTTGATGCTTTCTTGAATGCTATGATTGTCAAATATGGAAAACGTACAATGGATATTCATATTTGGGCAAGAAAATATATTGATCCTGATATTGTATTGGCTAAATTATCAATATCATTGTTTGCTTTTTCGGAAAATACTTGTTGTTATTATTCAAATATTTCGAAAGATTTAACAAATTCTATTAATATTTTAAAAATTCAAAATAAATATGTAGAAGTAACATGGAAATATCTTCTTTATAAACATGGTTATTATGATGCTGTGAAACGATATCTTAATATAATTCTTTGGCTTACATCTATGAGTATTTTAACATTTCATGCTCAAACTCTTAAAGCTCATATTAATGATGTTTATTCAATAATTGAACAAACTGAATTAACACTTATATTAGATGATGTTGATCAAATAATTGAAACAAAACAATAACAATTATTTTTTTTTTTGTTCAGATCTTTCATATTAATGATGTTTTATTTATCAGTTATGATTAAAATTTGTATTGAAAAAAAATAAAAATAAAGACATCTACAAAGTAAATATATTTCAGATAAAACTGTATCAGTTTATATCAAAAGTTATAATTCAAAAAAAAATGATTAATCATTGTCATTGAAGTCAATAGGAGAATATTCAACATCTGCAAAGAAAATCAAATTATTAATATTTCAAGAGATAATAAGACTGATGAAAGTTAGTGAAGAGAAATTTTATAAACTAAAAACTTAAGAAAGTTGATAATTTGTTCGGAATTTTTTTTTTGAATCAAAATTCATGATTGTCATACCCAACAAACACTTGAGAGTTTACACTATAATTAATACGATAATAAGAAAATGTATATGATTATTTAAAAATTAAGTTTAAAAATATCAATTAGTATTGAATCAACTTATTATTTAATACCTATTAAAATTTTTAAAACAAATTATTTTAAATAAAACTAACATAATGTTTAGTCAATGTTTTCTTCCAATGATTACATGACTATTCAAATAATTATTTCAAGAAAAAAAAATTAAGAATATTCATTGTATACTGCATTAATATTACTATTTATACTTTGTCAGTATAACTAACATATAATTATTTACTCCTTTACTTAATCAAGAAGATGACTTCATCGTTCATCTACTGTGAATATATACATGTGCTGTCACATATCATATGATTATATGTCAATAATTGCATCCGTGTATGTTGTTGACGTTAATTTGTGCATTTCATGTCAATTTCTTTAGAAATTCTATTTAACCAACTGCGAAATTATTCAATTTGACTGATTACTATCACATTCGTCAAGTTTATGGATTCGAACCTTTGATATGGACTTCAACGCGAATCTAGATCTCATTAATTTTCATAATAATTGATGTTATATCAATATGTTATTTTTAATGAGACTTACAGAAGATTAATACAACTTTGAAATATTGATATGTACAACTCTTGAAAAACTATTCTTGGTTACATATTTTAATTTATATCGTGGTTAGAAGTTACAGTTTATAGCTTTATAACTTTAATTATTATCCAATTAATTAACAATAAGATAATGAACAAAAAATGTCTTTCAAAATACTTGCATTATTGACTCAATGGTGACGTTTCAAATAGAAAAAGTCTTCCATCGATTATTAACTATGATGGATCTATTAAAATTTGGAAACGAAACCAATTTTTTCTTTTTTCGGATCTTTCGGAAAGCGTCAGTAATTCGATCATAAACCAGTATAATAACTTAAAATTTTCAGACTATATTTCTAGCTATTGACAAATTAAGAAGACATAAATTATTAACATTTTTCTAAGATTACTAGAATATTCGTACAGATAACACGATTACATGTTTTTTCATAAAGCGATCTATGGTACTAAATCAGTTCTTTTGTTACTGAAATTAGTTTTAATTACGATCATTCATATACTATAGATAAATCTTTTCAATGACTATAACAACATGTATAAAATATTTGCAAACTTTAGTTGCATAAGATAAAATTTGGTATAACACAAGAATTGAATTAAAATAATCGTATGTAAATGAAAAATCTCTTTTAATTGAACTGTTTTCTATCGTAAGTATATTAGTTACTCTATAGTTATACCCAATTTGAAGTCAAAAGTAACTTTTCAGAAGAAATCTTTTGCTTACTTTTTAGCGCAGACATACTGTTTCAGGACAAATTTAGTATTGAGTCGGTTTATTATTTGTCTCTAATTACATTCAAATGTGTTTTCAAAATAAAAACATTTTTCTCTAGTATCTTATTTTAACCTATATCTACTATAGAGAGAATTCAACTAAAACCTAAATTATAAAAAAGAAATTAGTTTTTTGAACAAATCTTTGCTGTAAAATTATTTTCGTATACACGTTACTTCTTGACTAAAATGCCTCTTTTTTTTGTTCGTAACAGATGTATCAGCATTTATACTGCTTCTTACATTAAAATAGGTGTCGGGTGACAATTTAATGACTTTTATTTTGAAAATGTCTTTAAAGTTGTGCTTAGTATGGCTGCTATACCTTGTCAAAAGATATTTTCACATAACAAGTTGGAAAAAAAATGATTATGTCTCTCTCGATATATTCAATTTTCAAAAATGAACTATTGATCACAGAAGAGTCCAATTGTCAAGCTCATTGGAAATTCCATATTTGAAAAAAAAAACACGTTCATTTTCTTTGAAACTTTCGAGACTTTTTAGTGATTAATGAATCTGTCTACAGATGACACATGATATCAAAACTCTTTGTTCGAATGTTTTTTCAAATGCCTTGTCCTGAGTAAAAAGTTCAGTAAATTGATCATGTGTCTCTTCATTAATAAGCTAGAAGAATGAACGTTTCTGAACTTTTTCTAGTGTCACTGAGACCTACATAGAGTCAAAAAATGATGCTAAAAGCTCAGAATCAATTGGGTCGGCACTCTCGTGATTTTTTTCTACTACTCAATGTCCACCAACTTTTTCGTTTTATTGAATTCAATACACACAACAGTCACAACATGCTTTGCACTTGAATCAGGTAAATGACAAGAACTTATATATTAGATAAAAATATAGAAAAACTTTGATCCTTTCTCAACAACAACACAATTGATATAAAAGTATCATATGAAATATTAACGATATATACGTATTTATCGATGACAAGGGTATTACAAATGATAGTTTTGATAGAAAATATACAGTTTGTGACTAAAAGAATGTTATGAAGATAGATATGAATAACACAACAATAGACACTTGTCATATAATTAAAAGTTGATAACGAAAAAACAATGTATTCATATATCGTTTGTATTTTTCTCAATACTTATCACATTCTCTAGTTGAGAATATTATTTTGAAGTATACAAATTGTCCAGTTATAGTTCCCATGTTTACATTATTGAGCCAATACAGAATATTATTAAATAGAAAATTAAAATAAAGAATTCATAAACTATATATTCAATATCAAAAATACAATTCGCAATATTTGTGTTCTTGCTAGTTTATATAAATATTTTGTAATAAACTTCTTTCACCAGTAGCAACTATTTCTCAGTGAAGAAGCAAATTAAAAATACATAGTAATATAATCTTAGCTATTCAGAAGTTTGTCAAACTGAACAATTTATTACAACATATTTCTAAAAAAACAATATTCTTTTATCTAACGAATGCAACATTAAAAAGAATTGTTCGTTAAATTGCTAATCTCTTTTTTTTTATTCCAACTTTCATAATATTATAAATGTGAGAGAAAGAGGATAGTTCTGTTTTGTGAAATAAAACAATTAGTAAAAATAATTGAAGCGAGCTTATGAGTTATGTAAAAAAACAAAAAGAAAAAGAATTTTAAAGTTTATTTGTAGGCAAAATAAATATTAGTCTTTGTAATTATGTGTATACAGCATTGACACATCGTGGGCAACTTCCACAACATTTTTGAGAAATGCTGCAATCCCTATCGGTTTTACATCTTGGCAAGCAGAAAGTAGGTTTTCCAATGACGATAGGTGTATATAATACTGGTGGACAACAACCTCGATGTTCATATCGACAACAATAAGCTCTATCGCATTGATTATATTTACATGTACCACCTAATGCTTCACATCTTCTACTTCCTTGTCCACAAGGAACACTTAGGATTGGTGAACCATATTTGCATGGATTGCATCCAGTTGCTGTTGGATGCAGAAAACAGTAAATACATCGATCAATGACAATTGGAGGATTTACAGTTGGTAGTACTATAACACGTGATTTATCAATGTCAGTGGCATCAACTTGAACTGTATATAAAGCAACAATAGCTAAAGTTGCTAGTAATAATTGTAACATTAACTTTTTCATGATCCTTTGATAATATCAAACTCGAATAGTATGATGTAAAATATAACTTATTTTGTACAGTTGATGAGATTTATATAGTATCATAGTGATTGACAGAACATGACTTTAACTAAATAAAAAAAAACTAAGATAATGTAGGCGATGTCATATCGTTTTTTTTTTTGAATCATATTTATCGATTTTTGCCAGTATCGTAGTTTAGCCTTGAAATAAAATATTCATCTAATTATAATATATATCGTCATACAAAACATGACTATACATATGCATGTCACTTTTTTGTTTTTGTCTTTCGTTGACATTATTTATGATTGAATGGATTTTGCGTATTGTGATTACACATGAATGAGTAAGCTCGTTAGCTTTTTAGATGCATTATTTATCGATAGTAAACAAATAAGTCAATAATATGTATATACATTAATATAAAAATACCATGAGAATCTTTTTTCAAATATTTAGTAGGATTAAATTATTCGTTTTATCGAAAGATTTATGAAAAGTTAAGTTGAAAGTAGATTCAAGAAGTATATTAAATTATCTTTCGAAATTTGAACATCAATTATAATATAAAATGATTATTATTATTAAAACGAATGGCGAAAAACGAAGAAAAGATAAAAACAAAAAAAACAAGGATTCAAAACTACATATACTACTTTATTTATGTTTAGAAATATTTTTAAATATTACATTAAAATATTATAAGACAATGAATGGATTACAATCAAAGATGATAAATCGTTCAGAGAATATCATGTTCTATCAATATTTTTGACAATAACTTTCAATATTGCATGAGCCAATTAGAGTACATATAAAAAATAAAAAGTAAACAGCTTTCAATCAGTTCAAAAAAAAATCATGTAATATTTGGTGTACGAGAAGAGAAAATAAAAAATGCAACTGTTCAGATTTTTTAAAGAATTATATATGTAAATACATTGTTGCTATGGGTATTCGTTTGAAATATTGTAAACCATCACCAATAGCAAAAACAGTACCGATTGGAGGGAAAAGAAAAAGAGATAGACTAACAAAGGCTTAATTTGCTTTACTAGTACAATAATTGAACCTTCATTTTGTTATATTCCATTCATTTTTTGAAGTTCTATTTTGGATTTCTTCTTTTCTATTCTGTATTTGTTTTTCTTTTACTACATAAATCTTTATACGAATAAAACATATTTCGTCTACTGATAAAGTTTCCATTTTTAATGAGAAAATTTACATTTTTTACTGATACTTAAATATAAAATGTTGATTTCATTCATTTTAGTGACTAAAATCATGTTCCCATTGTAATTTGAAACACACACGGTGGTAAATATTTATGCAGGTGACGTTAATACTTGATACGAGTAATTCCAGTACCAATTCGCTGAACATGCGTTCAACATACTCTTACTGAAGTTCCAAGTACAATGCAGCATTCTCTATCGAATGGCAGAATTCGACTAAGTGTATTCTAAATCCCCCTATCACATATCGAAAAACACATGTTTCTCTCCATGAATCCTAGGGAACCCGATGAGTAATTGGAGCATCGATGTGCACAGAATGATTTCCAGAACTTTTTCTTATAATTCGACAATAGGTCCCTTCGAATTCTACTAGTAAGACAAACGAGAATAGCTGGAACGCGGGTAGATGTGGATAAAAATGTTGTATGCACCAACATCCATACCAACACTCACACCCTCTATGACATTTAATTATCTTCTATCATAACCTCTATTTCTTTGCATGAAAGCTTTGGAATACAATTTGTTCAAAACAATATTAATGTGTCATATAATGGCTCTCCCATTCAACCAAAATTAACAACCTATCCAATAAGTTATCAAAAAAGTACACTCCAGTCAAGCTGATGTAACGATAGAATATACTTGGAATATTCTGTACAAAATGATGCATGAAATTGTTATTATTGTTGTTACTTTTTTTCTAAGAAATTGAATGTCGATGATCTTTCTACCACTTCAGAATTTAGAGAAGTGTCATATGTTCAGGAAATTGAGAATGCTGGAGAATTGTAGAGAGATGTCAAATTATGTATTAATAGACGATTATAGTATAGGCGTGGGTGTGTATGTTCGTATTTCCTTCTTTATTGTTGCTGGAGATATATATATAAAGATACTGCATCTTCTGTAGAGATGCAGCATTTCCGAACACATCTCCATAAACTTTAATAATTGTCATTGAAATTTAATAGTTTTTTTTATCAAATTAGTGTTTGAAAGCAAAATTGCAGGTACCTATAAGTATGAGACGATTAATTGCTCATTTATTTGAAATAATTAATATAATTTTGAATTCTTTAAAGTAACAATCCCGTATCCACCAGTAACTAACACATTTCTATTTGTTAATATTCATGTTGTGTGCTCAGCTCGAGCATCATTCATGCTATCAGTCGTTGCCCAAATTCCTGTTGATGTATCATACAATTCAGCACTATTTAAAGGAGAAGTATAATTCAATCCACCAGTAACTAATACTTCTCCATTTAGTAGTACAGATGTTGTATGTGCAGCTCGTGCAGTATTCATGCTACCAGTGTTCAACCATCTTAGAAGAACCATTTAAATATATTCAGGAGACAGAAAAACATCAAAAATCTATGAAAATTTGAACCAATGTTTCAGATTGGAGAGTTTTTAGCTGTTTCCCGCCAGAAAGAAGCAGTTGACCGAAAGTCACCGTAAAAATTCGAAGACTTTCCAACCAGCAATATTGTCTCGAAGTTCCATTGATTTTCAATGTCTTCCTGAAAGAACAGGCTCGTATTTCTCTACTTTTGGTTAATATACTGATAATAGTTTACTAAAAATAAACTATCATTGAATAGAAGGTTCAAGAAACATGTTTAATAAAGGACAAAATTGATTGAAGTATTAACCTAGTAGCTGATGAAGATACTAAAAATAATCTGATAATGCTATTAATCTACATCGATTGAAGAATGCAAGGTTTTTGCCAGTTAAAAAAGAGGATTGTAGTGACCGTTTTATTTTCAACTAATTCAAGTCGACAGATATTTTCTTTGAAATGTCAGTTTTCATTATTCAAATCCTATCCAAGATCTAACATCGATAATTGATATCATCGACCCAATCGCATTCAATATAAGAGTAATTTAATATTATTAAAAGACAACGGCATCAGAAAGAAGTAAAAAAAGATGTGAAAGATGAGGCTGAGCAAAAGAAATATTACTTTAAATAATCTTTCTTAATCAATCATGTCTCAATGAACAAGAAATTCTCAGCAGTTTAAAACGAGATATTCGATTGGATGCTCTTATTTGATATTTTTTTTTAACCTGACTTGATCTATATAAAAATTCTGTTCATCTAGATATGATTATTCATATTATATTATCACCCAGCTCAGTGATTTTACTTACAATACGATTATTCTTAGAGAATGTTCTCTTAGAACACTGTCTATCAACAAGTCTAAGAATATCATGAAGATTGTCGACAGAATTATTTAAGTATTACTTTTAAGACGAAGAAACTGGATATTATCATTGGTATAGTTTAACATCTTTCAAATGATTGCAACTGGAATATAAGTCTTTCTTGAAAAAAGACGAAAAACAAAACTTTAAACTATTGCAAAATCGATGACTTCTGTATTAGTCGATTTGCCGTATCACATCGATTTTTTGTTTTCTGATTATATGGAAAATGTCAATCTGTTTTAATTTTCCATCTCATTTTCATCTTTAACTTGATTGGTCAAATTTATGTCGATCAATCTCTCATATTATTGTCACTGGAATTTAGCTTTAAAAGCTAAATTTAAAATAGATGTGTTGATTATGTCTTCGATGGTCGATTTCGTCTTTCCCCAAATCTTAGAGTCAATATTTCTGATAACGACCGTCAATTAATTTTTGAATCCTGACAATGACGCATTTCTCAAACTAGATGTATCACTTTCAATATCACAGAAACTAACTGCCAATTGCAATATGCTGATGGATCCTTATTAATTTCCACAGATTTATTTTGCATCTGGTGTCTTCTTTAGATATTCAAGAAAATTTATTTTCCTTATTCCATCTATAATCTTTGTAGATCGATAGAATAGGATGTGCTGATCACACATATCACATTTATTACTGATATAAGCCGAGTAATAAAAGAAACTTAGAGCATTTTAGTAAGATCCAAAAAGCAGTATTCGAGTCTAAAGATCATTAATATCCGTGCAAGACTAATTGTAAAATACACTCATCTAATATAGAATTTTCATCTTTATCATAATCTATAAAAATATTTTGAAGCTATTAATCTTTTTTAATCAATAATCATCAAATACTATCTCAATCGTAGTCTATGATTTCAAGGAGGGGTTTTTTCAGTCGTACGAAAATATAGTGCACATGACGGAGTCAACGAAATTCTTACATCGAAAGTATAATTCAATTACATCTTTCTATTAAGACTATTTTCAACATTCTTAAATTGATAACATACTTTTTATTAGAATATTCTAAAAAAAAATCAGATTTTTGGATTATTCAAAAGCTAAATATCATGTTCAAAATAGTCTCATTAGAACGAGTTCATTGAATTGCACTTTGAATGTGAATATCTTGATGACTCGTCTATGTATACTATGTTATCGTAGCGATGCAAAAAAACCCTACTTAAATCCATAAACCTAACTGTCGAGTGATGTTCGATGATTAACGATTAGAAAGGACTAATTACTCCAAAACATTTTTATAGATTCTAATAGAGATAAAAATTCTGTATCGAGTTAGTCTATTTTCAATAAATCATGCATAGATATTAATTGTCTTTTAGCTCGAATACTGTTTTTCAGGCTTTTGAAAAATGCTCAAGATCTTTCTATTTATTTAGTTTATGTCGGCAAAGAATGTGATATTTGTGATCAGTACATTCTATTTTATCCAGCAACAAAGGCTAAAGATGAAACGAAAAAAGAAAAAATTTTCTTGAATAACTGAAGAGAACTCCAGGCACAATACATGAAGTTTGAGGAGTGCCTCATTATTAGAATTCAAAGTTGAGTTGACGATTGTTATCAAAAACATAGACTCTAGGGTCATGGAAAAGTCGAAACCGATCATCGCGGACATATTCAGTACACCTACTTTAACACTTGACTTTTTTAAAACTAGAATGTCATATCTACTCATGTCTTAACTAAAATCCTGACAAAATAACTTTAATTACTTCCTATACACTTACAAATTTGAGACAAATGTGTCTTTACCTTCTTTAGATTAATTCATCACTGACAATGGTAGACATACTGATTTTGGTGCGTAGCACGAGTTAACAATGCATACGGAAGTATTTGATGCACAATAGCTACTATTGTTGAATGCACAGTAATTGAAGCAAGATGTTGATGACGAAAGACAGTTGTTGTTATCATTTAAGTTTAAATTACATTGTTGTAAAGAGCAGTTTGATGCTGATTGCCATGCAGAATGAGATGACGTCATCAATATAAATTGAACAGTTTTACTATTCTCAGCACAATAGTAATTAGGTGTTGTTGTAGATTGACCTAAATATGACTTAGACTATGAAAGAATACACTGAAAAGAAATAAATCATCAAGCCTTGTACACATGAAAATAAGATACTAAAGAATAGAGCTATTAGAAATCTCATAGTTTCTATTTAATGAATGAATGCGTGACAGAAATATTCAGAATGAATAATTTTTCTGTTCTTTCTTACACGACTCATTGAATTTCTCTTTCAACTAGAGGAACACAAATGTATTTTGATCAAATGGTTATTTAACTCGTTGCAATAAAATAAATTGAACATTTAAATAACTAATTACACCTTTCTATATAGTTTATTAACAATCAAACAGCTCGAATCTTGTCGTAATTCTTTTCTTATTTTCATTGTCTTTATCAAACTAAAATCATGACATTGTCTCCATCAAAATATACTCTGTCAACAATTTGCTGATATAGAAAATAATTGACAACAGTAAAATCCGTCGAACGTGAAAGCTAAAAAATACTTGTAGTTTCAGAAATTTCTATTTATTTTCAAAATATTTTTCTAGTCGCCGTATGTCATACATGAACGTTAAAGCTATTTTAAATATTTGCAATTGCTTCGTATAAATGCAAGATAAAACCATATGTATAAAAATATCATTTTTTTTCATGTCTTTTTTAACAAAACATATGAGACTACAGATGATTCTTTTTCTTGTCAATAATGGGTGAACCATAATCTGTGACAAGACTTTGAATTTTATTTTTCATCGTTGAATACGTTTCATTAAAAAAAAAAAACAAAATATACCGCAAGATGTAGCACGCAAAGCTTTCGACTGTACGAAAACTGGTCATACAGAATGTTATTTTTTTGAAAACAATTATAATAAGTCCTACTGTGTATCCTGAAATTATTTTTACTGTATCAACCTGATAAAATATATGAAAATAATAGATTATTTTTAATAGTTTTCAACATTTTTATCAGCATGTATAAAACATATTTGGAGTATTTTTCAAGAGATTTTTTTGAATTAAAATTTTAGTTACTTATTAAATGATTATGAATAATAAAAAAATATATTCTTGTAATTATTTTAATGGTGAAAACTTAGTATTTAGATAAATTTTTCATAGAGACCTTTCATTTTACTTTGTTAGTTGAATTCCTTCTTTTGTTGTTTCTTATATTCAAATAAAATCTAATTTAATTCATTCATTGATTCTGTGATAAAATTTTCTATAACACAAGTTTAGTTATTTCTTCCATTTAAGTTATATTTTTCCACAAAAATATGTTTGGAATCATGTGTTCGTCTCTGATATAAGACAAAGAAGAAAAAATTATTTTAATATCACATTTCAATATTTTTTGTTTTGTTGAAACTTTTATTTTACTATTCTGATTTATATTTAAATTAAAAAATTCTATTCAATTTTTGTTTCCATATTCATGTGAATCGAACCGACGGATTTCGATGAACTCTGAATCCTTGATGTAAGGCTTGCGGAGGGCAGAAACTGACTGAGCATGTTCGACAACATATACCGTGACATCCTCGCTTTTACTAGATCTCTATACAATTCAAAAGTGAAATATTTTCGAATCGATCTAAATCGATCGTGCTAACTCTACATCGAACATTCTTCTATTTAATATTAGACTAAACATTTTATGACATGATTGTGCAAAAATTTGAGAATAGTATTCTTGTGTATAGCATCCTGAACTAAACATGTATATTTGAATTTGAGATAACTATTTAAATAAAACTTCAACATAAACTTCTCATCTTTTTGAATGCTAAAATTTGAATTGAAATATAGAATATTTCAAGTGGTGTGATATTGTGTTCTGTTTATTGTTCGAATTTCAAAACTGTACAGCAAATTCAACTGTCTCATCAAACGTTAATTTTAACTCAGAACAAATCAATCTTTTTTTTCGGTCTTCAGAGTCTACTATGAATACACGTGAAGATAAGAGTGAACGAACAAAGATGGTAATGCGACTGAAGTGAACGTCTTCACCATGCATTCTCAATCCCAAGTCTACAGCAACATAACTGTCTTGTCTTTTCAGTTTTTTTTCTTATGTTGGATAGTATGTGTCAATATCACTGATTTTTCTTAAAAGACATGCAGAAAAACTTTTGATTTAAAAAAGCATCATCAGCAAGACCATAGGCGATGATATTTATGTACTATATGCAATTTAGCAAAATTTTTAATTATCAAAAAAATATAAATTAATTGTCCGTTTAATAAATCTACTTCACATTTAAGTAATTTGACGTGGCATACAAATAAAACTCTTGTTATCTTAGATAAAAAATACGATAAATTCAAGAGTCTTTTCTTAGATATTTAGTGTTTTTCGACGAAATTAACAAGAGAATTAGCAATCTTTCCCTGACATGAAATGGAATTCTTTTGTATTAATCTCGCACATAAGCACTTCAAACTAAGTTTTGTTCTGGCTTTAAGAAATTGCCTAATATTTGAATTCGTTGCAATATCAATGGGTGTCTCTCCTAAAGCATTGACACAGTCGAGATGTGCACCAGCATCACATAGATATTGAATTATAGTGTCATCAACTATAGTTGATTGGGAAACAAATAGATGAAGAGGTGTGTTTCGAACAGCATCCATTGCATTCACTTTAGCACCACATTGTACAAGTAAACGAGCTGTATGTAAACATGGATATCTATAATAATAGATAACCTTCCAAAAATAAGTATTTTAAGAAAAAAAAAAACATACTTGCAAATGGAATCGATGAAAAAGTCATTGGCAGATGTATGATTGCTTAGACTCAAATGTAATAGAGAAGATCGATAGGTTTGAGTGACATACTGACATTGAACAATGCTATGAATATGTCGATAAAAAAGTTTACGATCATCATATGAAATAATTGATTTTGATAGCATCTAAACAAAAAAATCTCCATAGAAAAATCAACTATATTTCTACTAAACATCTCAATACCTGACTAACGATTGTTATTAAGAAAAGTAATGTATGTAGATTATAATCGAAATCCTTCGTGTTATGTTCTAATTCTTCAACTATTACTTTTATTATTGTCTGCCATGATACAATCGGTATTGATAATGAATTACGTAACATGTCACTAAACATCGAAGCCCACTGACGTAAATCCTCGATGTCTATCAATAATGAATGCTGTCGACGTGAATTAAGTTCGTACAACCAAAAACATATTCCTTGATGATGCTGTATATTATCAGCTAGAGTGGCACCACGAAATCGGAGAGATCGATAGTATTTTGCATTAGTTGGTCCAAGCAAACGTTCACGTACAAGTAAGGCTTCAGTGTACATATGATCATCACTTAATCGAAGTTCTTCTAGCTCATCGATTGTTTGACATTCTTGTCGGTTATCGAGCACTTCAACAGTTGACAATCTTAGAGCTTTAGGAAGATTATGTTGAAATCGAAGTTCCAGTGCTCGATGAAAGTATTTAAATGACTTTTCAAGATTACAAGTTCCATGCTCACCACAGGCAAAAGCACTTCCAAGTAATTCTTGAGCTTCGATTTGTTCAAGCAATGAACATTGAGGGGAAATAAGATCGGTGAGATCAATTCGTCTCTTTTCTGCTGCTAATAATAGTGGAGACATGTTATCATAATTTGCTTGAGAATTTCGAGCACCATAATTCAACAAAAATTGAACTAATTCAAGTGATCCACGGTCGACAGCAATGTACAGCGGTGAACGTCTATCATCCATCGACTCATTCACATCGCAGCCTAATTCATCAACAAGATAAGTTGTCACTTGTAAATCTTCATTGTAAACACTTGTAAGAAGATTTGTTTCATTTTGTATTTTAGCAATACGCACATCAGCACCATTCTCATGCAAATAACGAGCCATATCAATATTACCATTCCAACAAGCACAACGAAATGCTGTTGAATTCGTTTTAGTTTTGTGATTAACTCGAGCACCATGTTTGACGAGTAATTGCACAATTTTGAAATTATTGATGGCAGCTGCTGCCCATAGAACAGTCACATTCTCATACATTAATAAACTTTGATCTTTTTCAACAAGTTCTATATCATTTAGCACTTCGAGATCAAGTCCAGAATAATTAAGCAATGTTTGTATCATGTCTTCGAACTTATGTAAACAAGCAATCATGAGTAAAGTGCATTTTTGTTGGTCTAGTTCGTCATATATTTGATTTAAGTAGATCTCGGGGTTGTTAATTGTCGATAAATGACTTTCGACTGCTTTGATATCTCCTTGACGAACAACAGATAAAAGTAAGTTACTCACTTCCCCGTTAAAGTTTTTGTTGAATTTCATCGTAATAGTAAAATCATAGAAATCAAAAATTATGATTTACCTTGCATTTATATTCACACGTGTTGATTATATTTCTTGCATTTTTCTTCTGTTCTCTTACTTCCTTGCACTTTTTACCATGGGTTATAGTGCATGCTGAAGAAAAAAAACATTTTAATCAAACAGAACAATAAAAAAAAAACATTCTTGTGCTTAGTATTTCTTTCTCGAAAATATCTGGTAGTTAAATGTACGTTGAAGATGAAAGCCAGCATGATATGTTAATTAATTTGTCAATTTAGATGAAACACGATTCATTTCATTACTTTGGATTCAAGGAGAGATTTACTGTTGAAAAATCGCTTTAAAAAAAACATTCGAAGATTTATGTTTATCGAAATGCGACTTTTCGAAAGAATGAATTCTTATCTACTCGATAGGAAAAAAGGCTAATGACGAAGCAGAATGTATTTCGCAAAAAATAGATATTATATTGTTATCTTCTGCATTATTGAAACAATCTAATAAAAATTTAATCCTAGTCGCCAAAAGTGAAGTAAAATTTTTGGCAAATCCTAGTTAATTTGGCTGAGATTCTTCACACAATTCTTTTTCATTTGCAATGAAGGATGCCTACTTAAATTTACTGATGATGTATGACCCAATATTTAGTTGTACAAAACTTAGTGTTCCTTCAAAACCTTTTTCTAAGTCCATTGGATTGGAAAAAATGTTATTATTAGCTGGCGGAGGCAGCGAAAAATATTGCAGTTTGTAAACAAAGCATAATGCGCTGCTCAAGTCTATAAATCTGATGCAAGAAGAAAAGTATTTGAGTCTAGCTTAGTTTACGAAGTGTGGGTGTGGTGTGGGTGTTTGTGTGAGTGTGTGCGTGTGTGGGTGTGGGTGTGGGTGGGTGTGGGTGCGGGTGTGGGTGTGAGTGTGTGGGTGGGTGTGAGTGTGGGTGCGGGTGTGGGTGGGTGGGTGTGTGAGTCTGAGTGTGAGTGTGCGGAAGACTGTCTTCTTCTTTCATTCACACTCACATCCACACCTTGTCTATCACCTTGATGGATTGCATAATTCATCACAATCTTTTATCATAGTTTTGATTCCGATCTAGTATTTCTATCCAACCAAGTCTAAGAATCACTGATACATAGATAAGACAACCAACATGGTACGAGAGGCTTCAGTTGATAGCAGCATTTTTCGCTTTTCTTTTACTTCTTTTTCTCGAGTATGCTGTGACATAAGTTTTTTTTACAACGCTTATCTTTTTTTTTCAATCACAATCTACTTTTAAATTTACACACCCTGTGCATTTTCTCACGCACATTTCCATCACCGATAAATTTACACATCTAGTGCATTTTCGTACGCACATTTACATCACCCAAAATAAAGGAGCAGCGATGCTCTAAACTGGTAGGCTACGATTGAAACAGCTTGCTTCTTAGCTGTGTTTTGGTTTTCATATAGTCTTTGATCGTAGGAAGTCCGTTCTGTAAAGGGGACTGTAATATAATAAACCCTTACGTGTTTATGACACGAAGGTTTTATAATTACTATTAATAGTGCACCGAACCGGAATTTTGGGAGAAGGAGAAGGCCATACAAAGTTTTTTTCTTTTTTTGTAATGCATCTTTTTTCAACACGGAAACATTCTCAATAAATTTGCCAACTTCACAGTGTCAGTTTTTCGAATAGATCAGGCAAAGTAAATTACGACAAAAGTATGCCTTTGCTACAAAAACAAAGGATGTGGAGAAACACTTTTTGCGGTAGAGTTGTGAAAGTTTTTCTTCTTGCCCTTTTCTACGCGACTTTTTGATACTGCAACATACTGAAACTGTTTTCACGGACATGATCCACAATATTTGACAATAAATGAGCACATTAGGTAAAACGTTTTCAGCGCATTTCATACAGCAATAAACTATAAAACATGATGATCACGCTTTGATTGTATATGTAGACTCTTGCCATATTGATTGTCATCAGTTGTCTCGCTATATAATTCGATACTCGTTAACAGCTGTATTTTAAAAATGTCTGATTTAGATCAACATCAGCAAACGGGTGTGGGTGTGAAATATGTGAGAATATCGATACTTAAACTCACACCCACACCTACACCCTAATTAGTGATCGGAAAGTTGTTAGACAAAATGTTCGCTCACTTTTGGTCTGCTAGAAAGTACTTCGAAACAATCCAAAAGCTGTGATCTGGAACTATTATCCGATCCAAAGTAGAAGAAGGGTAGCTGTTTTTTGAATAAATTTTCAATGGAAATAGCTATCAGTCTGAGATTTTCACCATTTGATAGAAGTGAGCATTCTGCATCTTTCTATAGATGGTAAAAAAAGCCACCTTATGATTCTGATGAACAGTCAAGAAAATTCAAAGAAGCACTTTAAGTGCCATAAAAGTTGTATGAAATCTCAATTGTAAGGAGTATATTAGATTTGCCTACGCAAGATCTACAATTTTACACAAACCTGAAATTTTTATTTTGTTTT